CTGGAGGTGAGATGAGGTCCTGGTTGATGGTGAGGTCCTCACTGGAGGTGAGGTACTTGAGGTACTTGAATTTTTGGAGTGTTTGAATTTTGGGGTATTTTAATTTTGAATTTTGGGGTATTTTAATTTTGAATTTTGGGGTTATTTTAATTTTGAATTTTGGGGTATTTTAATTTTGAATTTTGGGTTATTTTAATTTTGAATTTTGGGGTATTTTAATTTCAGGGTTTCTGAATTTTGGGGTGTCAGAATTTTTGGAGTATCTAAATTTTTGAGGTGTCAGAATTTTTTGGATATTTGAATTTTTGGGGCTCCTGAATTTTTTTGGTGTATGGATTTGAATTTTTGGAGCATTTAATTTTTAGGGTGCCAGAATTTTGGGGTTTCTATTTTTTGCGGTTTCTGAATTTCAGTGTTTCTGAATTTTGGGATATTTGATTTTTTTGGGGGGGCGCCTGAATTTTTGGGGTGTATGAATTTCTTGGTGCCTGAATTTTTGGGGTTTATGGATTTGAATTTTTGGGGTGTATGAATTTTAGGGTGCCTGAATTCTGGGGCATCTATTTTTTTTTGCGGTTTCTGAATTTTGGCGTGTCTGAATTTTGGGATATTTGATTTTTTTGCGGTGTCTGAATTTTTGGGGTGTCTGAATTTTTGGGGGGTCTGAATTTTTGGGGTGTATGAATTTTTGGGGTGTCTGAATTTCTTGGTGCCTGAATTTTTGGGGTGTATGGATTTGAATTTTTGGAGTGTTTAAATTTTAGGGTGCCTGCTTTTTGGGGCATCTATTTTTTGCAGTTTCTGAATTTCAATGTGTCTGAATTTTGAGATATCTGATTTTTTTGGGTGTATGAATTTTTAGGGTGTCTGAATTTTTGGGATGTCTGAATTTTTTGGTGCCTGAATTTTTTGGGTGTGTGGATTTGAATTTTTGGAGTGTCTGAATTTTAAGGTACCTGTATTTTGGAGTATCTATATTTTTGTGGTTTCTGAATTTCAGTGTATCTGAATTTTGGGATATTTGATTTTTTTGGGGCACCTGAATTTTTGGGGCATCTGAATTTTTGGGATATCTGAATTTCTTGGTGCCTGAATTTTGGGGTATCTATTTTTTTGCGGTTTCTGAATTTCAGTATGTCTGAATTTTGAGATATCTGATTTTTTGGGGGTATCTGAATTTTGAGGTGTCTGAATTTTTTGGGTGCCTGAATTTTTTGGGTGTATGGATTTGAATTTTTGGAGTT